ACTCTGAATTTAAATCTTAAAAATGCATTCAAGTACCTTAACTATTAACAAAAATGTATCTGATTTGTGTATCACTCGTCTGTAAATCCTCAAATCATCTCTGAATTTGTGCTGACACTGTCCTTCCTTCCGGAGGGTGGCTACTTTTGTTCCCCATGGTCCCTGTGTGTGCTTTAAAGTAGTCACCGCGATTCTTAAATTTTCTTCTTTTTTTTTTTTTTGCTTTCTTTCCAGAAAACAAAAGAAAAAAAGTCACTCTTAATTATTATGAGGAAGGCAGGGCTATAAGCATGTCAGCCTGTGACAACACAGGCTTACTAGGGGAGTGCAGGCCCAACATGCTCTTGTATAGCTTCCTGCTGTTGGCTTTGAAAGCTGAACTGCACATGTCTGACAATGCTACTATGGGTCTGAACTTATGGACAGTGTTAACAGAACAGTGCAGGAGCAAGACTGGCAGGTTTCCCTGGTATTGGTGCATCTTTTAGGGCCACAGAAAAAAAACTGCCTTAGTAAGGGTAGATAAACAGTATTTCAAGGAATAAAGTCATTTTATTTTTGGCATTCACATACACTTTAAGACCACTTTAACATTTTCTCAAATTTTAAAAAGACAGGCTGTGTATGTTCTATTAGAAGGATATCCCATGTAGGATATCCCATGTATACATCCAGTCTCAATTACAACTAATTAACTTCAAACAGAAAATTCAGTCAAAAAATGACTGAAAACTGCTAATTCAAAAGTAACATATGAAAGTGTGAACTATCTTACCTGGCCCCAAAAAATTAATTTTGTTCAGAAAGTTTTCTAATCCAGAGGAGAAGACAAAAAGTCAACATATTTATCATAATAGTGACCACTGTGACTGTCTTGACTTGAGTAAGTGACCCTGCGAGCCCCTGACACACTGGTACTCCTATGACACATGCGATGCTGTTGTCAAAATAAATATGTGATACACGTCTGTTTCAAGTGCTGGTGACTTCATATTTTCTTATCTGTTTCCGGCATGATACCATCAATAGCAATCATTTTGAGCGCCCACCAGTCATGTAAAGGTCAAGAACTGTGAGTTCAGCTTCTAAGTTGGATTTTATCGAGTTTTCTAATCCATACATCACTGTCAGACAGCACTGCCAGGATCTGATCTCACCTTTCTCTAATGCAGCTAAAGAAATACAAATTTATAAATAAAATGTGTGGCACTGTTATTGTTATTTTTACCAATGACAAAAGTGCTTTGTGCATAATTATAATCAACTGTGTATGTATGTTTAGTTACTCCAAAAGTGCAATATATATTCTATGAATGAATAGGATCATGATTGTACCTTATATTCAATATATATATATATATATATATATATATATATATATATATATATATATATATATATATATATATATATATATATATATATATATATATATATATATATATATATATATACATATACATATTTTTATTTTTTCAAAAGATAGTCCTTTTGAGTTTAGTGTTTACAACTGTATAAATTACACGTGTTGAAGTGCAAACAGTGCTCTCAATTCCCAAGCCACTAGCAATCTCAGTTGCCCACTTCAATAGATAAAATGCATTATTACATGTGTTCCACTCTTCACCACTCACCTTAACTGCTGGACCTAATTACACAACAAGGTCTACAGTGCTTAGTCTCCTTATGGAGTGAGGTGTCTCAACTCCAACACTCCGTGCATAAGGCCAAATTAGCTCACAGAGAAAACAAGCAAAACACTCTCATAGTGCCTTCTGTTAAATATCTCCAATTTATTAAAATAGAAAGGCTAAAAACTCACATAAGAGATACTCATCCACCCATGCACATAGTATGGCACTAGTTCCTAATTTGCAGTATTCCAAACACTCCTTAAACTCCGCACGTGACGTATTGCACAATGATGTTACTTGTCTTCGTCTTATGTGTTACATCAGTATGACTTTACAAGAGGCTAGGAGGTGAGTGAATTCCTGGTAGCACTTAAAGTAATACTAAGGCCTATGCTTTAAAAAAAATGCCCAACACATTTCCATGTCCCCAATTATTAACCTCTGGTCGCTTGTCACCTCCGCCGGGTCGGAGACGATATCGCCATCCCCTGAACGTCCCGGTTGTGTACTGATGGCAGAGGATTGATAGGCTCCTTCTGCTCTAAGAGAGTTTAGACACGTAGCGACATACCTTTTGCAGCGGATCCGCACGGCCGGGATAGCGCGACTTTCGGGGCGACGTTCCAGCGACGATCCAGCGACGGTAGCGCGACCTTCTCCGTCGGGCTCCATAGAAAAAAGGCAAAATGGCGCAAAATCCGCCGGTAGAAGCGACTTGCGACCGCGACGCGCGACATGGAGTTAAGACAGCTCCATTGAATAGCATTGGCCGGCGACTTCTCGCGATATCGCGCGGCAAAAATGCGCGATATCGCGGTGGAAATCGCGCGATAATTCGCTACATGTGAACGGGGCCTCAGTCAAACTGTGACAGTGAGAGCAGTGGAGGGAGCAGTGGCATGGCTTTTCGAACGCAGTGTGTGTCTATGGACGCACACAGCTAGGTCAGAAATCGCTTGTGTCCCTTCTATGGGGAAAGAAACTCAGGTGATTTCTGACCTTAGTTCAACACTGGGCCCAACCACCAGAATGACACAAACGATTTCTGACCCTAGTTTAACACTGTGTCCAACTACCAGGTTAGAGGCAATAGGTGGAGGTTTTTAGATATCATCACTTCACAAAGGATTTATATTTTCACAGTTAAACGTTCTGATATCTAGAATATATATGCATGTATATAGCACTATTCATTAACCATAGGAACACCTGTGCAAAGTTATTACGTTTAAATGACTGGTTATGACATGGACTTTGGAATAGATTGTATTGCATTATTATGCTAGTTTATGATAATAGGTTGTTGTTTGTTAGTTAGTTTGCTTGTTTTAGTGTTTAGTAGAAATTCCTGTTGTCATTTGTGATAGAGCTACACTATACGCTTTCTTATTGTGGTTTTGTTTGTGATAACACATTCTAAGTTGCACACTATAGATAGGGAATTCTTAGCGCAGACATTTTTATGATATCATTAAGATCAGCATCAGAAATGTTTCTGGCTGGGAATGTAACTTGGTGTTACATGATTCTTCAATGAGAAAACCTAACTTTAGTGGAACCATGGAACACACAATCATGTATTTAACAAGCACAGATTCAAAGCAAATTAGAAAGCAATGAATATGACCACTATGTTTAAATGAAAGCTGATAACAATCTCCGTATGGTAACCCGCCTTGCTTCCCATATAGTAAGAGTCTAATGCTTGTCTAGTCTAGACAGTTATAACATGGAGGAATACTTGCTTCTTGCTTCCCTGGCAGCCAGTGCTCTTCTTTGCTCCAGCCCCAGAGTTTGGGAGGCCCTTGATGTGCTTACAAACAATGCAGGAATGTGGGAAGGCCTTTGATGTCCTCACATACATTGCAGGAATGTGGGGAGACACTTGATGTCCTCACATACAATGCAGGAATGTGGGGAGACCCTTGATATCCACACATACAATGCAGGAATGTGGGGAGGAACTTGATGTCCTCCCATGCAATGCAGGAATGTGGGAAGGCCCTTGATGTCCTCACATACGATGCAGGAAGGTGGGGAGGAACTTGATGTCCTCCCATCCAATGCAGGAATGTGCGTAGACCCTTGATGTCCTCACATACAATGCAGGAATGTGGGCAGACCCTTGATATCCTCACATACAATGCAGGATTGTGGGGAAGCCCTTTATGTCCTCACATACAATGCAGTAATGTGGGGAGGTCCTTGATGTCCTTAAATACAATGCAGTAATGTGGGAAGGGCCTTGATGCCCTCCCATAGAATGAAGGAATGTGAAGAGGCCATTGATATCCTTACATACAATGTAAGACCACTGGTGTCCCTGTGGGGAGATTTCCTTTCAATTCCTGTCTCAGAGATACCAAAGGAAGTGAAAAGAAGGTATGCTTCTAGTTGTCGCTCATACAGGTGCTCCCATTGGAAGATTTTCCCTTTCATTCCTGCTACATTGGCAACTGCAACACTTATGATTTCATATTACTTTCTGTCCTGTTTATAGCAATTACAGGGACAAACGGAGACAGAGAGAATCTTCCTAGTAAGGACATATGCAGCAATTAAAACCTGATAGGGGTTTTAACACCAGTGTTAATTTTGACAGCAATTTTCAATTTAGTTTTAGTCATATTTTAGTCATCTGAATTGTTTTAGTGTTAGTCTAGTTTTAGTTGACTAAATATCAAAGGATTTCAGTTGACTAAATCCACAGTAAATTTAGTCTACTAAAATTTAGTAGGTTTAGTTAAAGTGTAATTTAAGAATTTCTCCAGAATTTCCAATCTCATTATATAATACTGGAGTTAACATCTGTTAACCTGTTATTACTTATGGTATTAAGGTTTGAACATGCAATACAGACACAGATTTAACTGTTGATATATATATATATCATGTCTTTATTTATCATAAAATTATATTAAGCCAAGCCTTTTAAAGAAACAATAATATTGAGTATTTTCAACAAAGGGCCGGTAATTAGATACAGTATGCATTGATTATAACAACTTGCAAATTATATTCTTTATTCTTTCAAGCAGAAGTGCAAATCTAAAATATTAAAATGAAAAACTATATTGGTTGTAATGCCATTGCACATATTACCTATTAGCCGTCCATTCAGGATGGAACCGGAACTGGAAGTCCAAAGAGATTAGTTCTGATTTGATCTCTTCCCAAATTGTCTCTCCCTATTAGTCAACGAAATTAACACTGTTTAACACTTCCTCACTCTATCCAAAACCTAAAAGATTTTGCCTTTATTTTGCTTTTCTTAGTAAATATGTGACTTCTATATCTGCCTACAGTTCTGCTTTGATGCTTGGTTGGAAGGTACCATTATATAAAGTCAACTATTTTGTATTGCAGGTGGCATCACGCTATTTGCAGTCATCACCCTTATTTTGGATTCCTTCAAAATTGGCTACTTCATTGGGTTCTCTGAGTGTTTATCAATAACAGAGGGGATATTTCCAGTGACTCACACCATCCACACACTTCTACAGGTAGGAGGATTCCTATATATGTACCAATTAACACGGAAGTCTGCCAGAGGTATGCAGAGATTTCTGTGCAGGTATCTTTTTTAATCTTTTGATAAGTATCATGACTGATTGTCTCCACTCCGCACGATGAATTGCCAATTGTTCTTGTAATTGAACCTTAATTGTTAGGTAGGGTATATTCCTATGACATTGTCCTGTCATTAGGCTATTTTATCTCCAGATGTTATTACTGCCCAATGGTTGCTTGTACTGTGTAATTATTTGTCCTAAAGTTATAGTATTAATATGAAGAGACAGCAGAGGATTTATGTCTCTGAGTACATCTTAATTAATTCCTGTAGCCTAGCATGCCGGTAGACTTTAGATCCCTGGTGCCCAATCTACAAGTTATTGGTACTTGTTGAGTGTCTTTTGGACCCTGGGCTTCACTAGTGGGAGCAATGATTTGCAAAGGGGCTGTAATGGCAGCGCTCTCTAGCAGAGTCATGTAAAATGTCCTTAGTCTTCAATTGTCTCCTGCAGCTTGTCTTCAGCCCTCAGTGACACCTGTAACATGTTCACAGTGCCCAATCATTTCCTCTAGTCCTGTGTGGCATTACAAATACTGAATATTGCATGCGGTTGTGCCAGGGGTCTAATTAGGTTCTTCTTATATGTCTTAAGTTGACAATTAGGGATGCACTGATACCGGTATTTTGGTACAGAGTACGATTACCGATAATTTTTTTCCGGTACTCGCCGATACCAATTACCGAGTAACGGAAGTCCCATTCAGGAAGCCATCGCCACCTGGCTTCCTGATTAGCCGGGCAGCTTGTAAAGACTCGCCACCCAGCTTCCCGATTAACAAGAAAGCCATCCCAGCCTGTCCCCTCTCACCTTGGCATGTCCATCCTGCCACCCCCGAGGCCTCTCCAACCAGGAGCAGTCTTCCTCCGGTACCCAGCTGGAGCCGTCTTGCTGGCCAATCATTGAAGCCGGGCTCCATGTAATGACGCAGCGCCCTGCTTTCTGATTGGCCAGGAGGCCGGCTCCATGCTCCCTCCTCATGAGATGAGGAGGGAGCATGAATCCGGCTTCCTGGCCAATCAGAATGCCGGGCACTGCATCATTACATGGCACCCGGCTTCCTGAATGGCCAGCTTCCTGACCAATTGGGAAGCCAGGCAGCGCGTCTTTACATGCTGCCCGGCTTCCTGATTGGCCGGGAAGTCAGCTCCATGCTCTCCCATTACAAGTGACGAGAGAGCATGGAGCCGCTTCCCGGCCAATCAGGAAACCGGGCAGCGTGTAATGTCGCGCTGCCCGGCTTCCTGATACAGGAAGTACTCGTGCTAGGCATCGGAGCATATGGGCGACTACGAGTACTCACCCAAATAATCGGCATCGACACCGATATCGATACTAGTATCGGTGCATCCCTATTGACAATCAATTATGAAAAACAATGTACCACTTTGGCATGCTAAAATCCTGCATAATCATACCGCCAGGGAGGTTAAATGTTTCCCCTCAGTGTGGAAGCAGCAATCTCTCTACAGAGGTCCAACATGTTCCCTATGTACATGTCTGCAATCAGCAGGAGGCATGAGCTTTGCTGATTGGAGAGCTCTAGTTTTGAGGGGCGTGTTTCAGACCAGCAGGAGGCTGCAAATAAAGACCCCCGTTCTCTGTGTGAAAGTAGTGGATTTTATCTGCAGTTTTCTATGGAAACCAAAAGTAAGACATTTACTAACTTGTGTTACCTGTAGAAATAGGGGTTCATTTATAAAAGTTCTGCCATGCTGTTCACACAGCACTAGGCCCCCTAAATGGTGTTGACAAGCAAAGGGAATTGTTTTAAATCAACCCCTTAAGATATAATTTAACCCTAGGCAAAAAGTACTTGCCCAGGGTTTAATACTGGTCATCAGGTAGGTACCTGCTTTTTTTTTTTATATAATTCAATTTTTATACTTTTTTGCCCATTTTCTGTCCCTTGATATGCATGCCATGTTTTGCTTTTCTCACAGAAGCCTCCTGTTTATACAACCCCGTCCTATCTACGTGCATGCCCGCTTTTAATGATGTGGATCAGTGGAAGCGCGTGTGGATGTGCATAGTGTTGTATGATAACACTGCATGTGCATAGAAGTACAGTCAGTGAGAGTTGACACCCTTGGATAGGAAGTGTTATACTGGCAGGACAAAAAACAGGAACAAAAAGCATAAAAAAAGAAAACGAATGCAGTCACCCCATCTAAGGGCTGGTAAGCTGCAATATACACTGCATGGCCCAAAAAAAGTCACCACTTGGATTTAGCTAAACAAATAGGTCAGAGCCATCCTTTGGATAATTAGTTTCGGTTCAGTAATATTATGTGCCCAAAAATTAGGTCAGCTGCCTACCTGAATATACTGAATGACCAGGTTTTTCCATCAATGGATTTCTTTCCTGATGGCACATTGGGCATATTCCAAGAGGACAATGCCAGGATTCATAAGGCTCAAATTGTGAAAGAGTGGTTCAGGGAGCATGAGACATAATTTTCAAGCATGGATTGGCCACCTCATAGTCCAGACCATAACCCCATTGAGAATCTTTGGGATGTGCTGGAGGAGACTTTACACCGTGGTCTGACTCTCCCATCATTACTACAAGATCTTGGTGAAAGTGAAGGCAAAATGAACCTATTTTAATCAAAATGATGTAATTTGGTAATTGAGTCCCCTACTGATTAATATGATGTGTGAATTGTAATGAAAGATCCATTTTAAAGGGAGACTATCATTTTTTAATAGAGTACAATATTTGTGACGTTTATTGTGACGTAGATTTTTTACTTTGCATGCGTGCATTGCCATATCACATCCATTTCACAGTATATTTTATATAGAATTGTAAGTTTCCTGTCAAGTTACTGTTTCTTGGTGCTAAGTAGCTGTTGGTGTCCTTATTGCAAAAAAAATGACAGGATAAGCCACTGAGTATACAGCTTTCACTTAAAGTGTGCTAACGCAGTTCTGGTTATAGGCTGAGAAAAAGCATAATGTGCTGTATATAGAGCCATTATGTACCATTAGGCACTCCTGGGCCTTTGTGGAGCGCAGTAAGACATAATGCGCATGGGCGTCTCGGGATTCCTGTGGCAAGAACCTGTGGATTCTTGCCACAGGAATCGCAGATGTGTCCATACAGATGCAGCCGCTGTGCCCATTCAATGACAGGGTGTCAGCTGCTGCATCTGCCTGTACATATCTGCATGTACAAGGTTTGATTACCTGAGGGTTGTGAGAGGAGCTTGTCCCGGGACACAAGCTCTCTGCATCCTGGGCAGGGCCATCCCCTGTTGCCTCAGACAGCATCTCTTTGGGTCACGTGAGGGAGTTGCAGGCAGAGTGGCATAGCTGCTCTGCTGTACAATGTTTACAGTGTACCTGCCACCCCCTTTCCTGCCAGAGCATCCAAGGTTGCTAAGAGCCGGGCCGGGAGATGTCTAAGGGCCATACACATCTCCCCACCCAGTTCTTAGCAACCTGGGACGATCTGGCCGGCGTCCTGCCCAGCCAGTGACAACACTAGGTGGGAGGTCGGCCAGAGTCAGAGCCAGAGCTGGGCAGGGAGATGATGCATGAAGCCCCCCCCCCCCACGCCTCAGTCGGCGAAAAGGCTACACCCCTGGTCCTGGGACAGGTTCTTGCCTTAGGGATCCCCAAATGTCCATGTGCATGATGCTTAAGTAGCACCAAAACCTCCATGTGCAGGTTCATTTTACTTTTCTATTTTCCTTTTGCTTTGTCTGGCCAGCTATTAATGCTGGTGGCTTACTTCAGCATGGTTTTCTGGTTTAAATTTCTTTGATAATCACTTGACATGGATTGTGACCATTTTAATGCCTTGGACAGAAACATAGATGTTCAGGCCTGCATGGTCTGTAAATTCATCAAACATAAGAAAATGGCAGCCATCGTTTTAAACTAGTATGGGAAGGGTGGTACACCAAGAGAACAAACAATACAACATTTATCAGTGCTGAGCCCCGCCAATTAACAAAAAGACCAGTGAGATGAATTTGCAAGTTTTTGAAACATGTTAGACCTTCTTGCAGGTTGGCAGGGCTGGGAAATTCTGCATTGTATTATCGATTGGTAAACAACCCCTTCCATCTTAGTCCTAAATTGATTGAGTGCTGCCATCTTTTCTAAATGCTGTATTTTGTGCACATGAAATGTCACCAGCTCCATCAACAAGGCAGCCATCAGAAAATTTGGGGCCCCTTACAAGTCTTTAGACCGGCCCTCCCCCGCGCCGCTGGACACAGGACCCACCTCAGAGTGACCCTGCAGAGCCCACCATAGATGCTGCACAGCCCATCTGAGACTGTCTATGGTGGGCTCTGAAGGGGTCTCAGGTGGGCTGGTCAGGGCTGCATGCCTCCCCTCCCTCCTTTCCTTCCTTCCTAGCTCCTCTTACCTGCACACATGGCCTCGTCTGCCTCCGGACCAGCCAGAAGTGACGTCCCGTCACTAACATGACGTCACTTCCGGCCAGTCCGACATCAGACGAGCAGTGTCGCTGATGGGGCCCTAGCTTGTCTCAAAGCTGCTCCAGCGGCAATGCTGGGGCCCTGTGCTGCTAGGGCCAGGCCTCCGCCTCCTCGCCCTTCACCATCGGCCGATAGTCATGTAAGGGACCCAGGCGGCCCCCCCAGCCTGCCCGGGCCCCTTACATGAGTATCGGCTGTACCCCCCTGATGGCTGCCCTCTCCATCAATATATGTCTGACGTTCTTAAACTAGACATATTATGCACTTCACAGCTGACTGACTATCAACTCAGCAAAACATGATTTTTAACATGTACAAGTATAATTACAACAACAAGTTTGGGCTCTTGCTATAATTTTTGGTTATGGGCTTATCTCTGTACTCGCAGCAAGATTCATTTGCAAATCTCCATATCAAACTATCAGGGTATTAATCAATGTGTTCTCCAGCTCCAGGGGTGTGTAGGTTTATAAT